TAACTTAGTATTGATATTTTTAATTTAGTTCATCTCTAATCCCCAAGGTTTTAAAAGTAAAAACAAGTAAATACATAAGAAAAAATAAAACAGGAGGATAATATCTATTACTATATCATTCTATATAAACAAGCAACTTCATACTTTACGATCTTGTCAGTGAACATTAAAATGTCAGTTTTCTTTTGTACATCTTTAACATTCTTCTGGAACAAAATTAATTTTGCAATGAAACCAGTCTGAGTCATTTGGCTAAACAAATCTCTTGAGTTTCTCTCTTTATAAATGTTAATTCTGATACAGGGTTTTGTTAACCTCAGCAAGATTGTTTTCTGGAGCTTTCAGGCAATATTTTGCCTCACTATAAAAACACTGTAAAGTCTGCACTATTTTTCTAAGGTACTTATGTCACTTACGTCTTTTAGGACTCATCTGTATGACCCAGATCTGTCCAGTGTTTTGCTCTTACATTTCTCAAGCATTTGTTGGGGAGAATTTTTAGGCTCCCAGTGCTCTTGGTTTCACAATTCTCCCACTTCCTACCTTCTCTCCATTGTGTCCTTCCTCTCTTGTTTTTCTTCAATTCATTCCCCATCCCTCTCCTTGCTTTCCATACTATCAATATGTAAGCTCCTTGGCTGCAGTGCATTGTATGGTCTGTAGCTGACTCACTAGATCACAAAGCTTCTCCCTGTCCCATTTATTTGTCTCATGGCCCTGGGCAGAGTATTTTAGAACTTCAGTTTCTGATTATGAAGATTTTATGACAACACATATGTCAAGCATCCAAAACAGTAAATGCAGACATTTGTCCTTTATGATGTTTTCAATTGCATTTTGTTTTGCATAAATTCCATTTCTTTTTGATCTTTTCAAGTTTCTTATTATGTTTATCTTAATATGTATTAAAGCATTTAAAATTAACTTAATATTTTTAACTTTTAGAACCTTTTCTTACACCTATTTCTGGCTCCAGGATTCATCTTCACATTGAAAATTAAAAACAAAAATCTTGAAAAAATTCTCAGCTTCTAAATTTATAGATGAATATATTTTATATTCTCTTTAGAATGTATGATTGTAAGACTAGTAATCAATGAAAAGTATGAATAATAACACATGGTACAGAAGTCTGAACATGTCATGCTGTTTTTCCCTTTTGTGACTCAGGTGTATTTATCAGGAAACTTGTCAGTGCTTTCTTGTGTACACTGTCACTTTTGCTGCCATCCTTACAGAAACTACATTCAGTCTATTTAATTTAAAAGAAATATATTCAAGCAACAATATTAGTAGAAACATTAATTTTCTGTTTGCTTTCTTAGCAAAGTGTTTTTATGAATTTCATATGAAAATTACAATAAGTATACATAAATCACAATCAATTTTGATGTATATTTTATTATATATAGACTTTTAATTCCACAAAACATACTATGTGTAGAATAAAATACTTCTAATCATTTTCTTTGACAATTTATATACATTTGATGTGTTTCAGTATTTTTAATTCCTATAAATAGGAATGTTAGAAAAAATTACAAAGATTCATCAAAATTTGAAAGCAGAAAGTATGTTCATAGGCATGAATATAATACACAATGAAAAAATTAACAAAAAATCATTAAATTGTATAAAATAAATTAAGCAAAAGAAAATTATTTGAAAGTGCTGAATATAAAAGTGTTCCTTTAAACTATAACATAATTTTAAAGTAAGCTTATCTTCATAAGTGTGTGCGTATATACTTCATATTCCTTGATTATTTTTAAAATGAAAAACATTTGAGATTATGTAGCACATACTTCAAAATAATTTTTCCTTAGGTATCATCATTTCTTTGCAACCCCCCCCATCGTTTACTTCAGCATGGTATAAAAAAAGGTGGTCATTTGAAACTTTAAGATAAAGTTTCTATTGTTAACTTGAGAACTTGACTAGGATGACACGATCACCTTCTTCATACTGGTTTTTTTTTTTTTTTTTGCTAAGAAACGCTGAATTCCTTCAACTCTGTATTTTACATGTTTGCTTCATTCCCTGTTTATGGAATTGTTATGTGAATAAAAATGTGTATACAATTGTTACTTGTGAATAATATAAATTATTGCCACAAACTTATTTGATGTATTGAATTTAGAAAATAATGTCTTTGTTAATTAGCATCAACAATAGTAGTTGAATGTACTTAGTATTTTTCATGTAGTTTTTGTAAAATATTCACTGTGAAACCAGATTTAAGGCTGATCCAATCTCATTTCTTCTGTGTACTAACCACAGAATCCTGTGCCAATTACTTAAACTGATTTTGTTTTCCTGAATCTTTAAAATGAGTGCAATAATACCATAATACCAATAATGCCATAGAGCTGTTATAAGACTTAACTGAGAGGCTATGCTTTGTAAATACTCATTCTTTCCCTTTGACTGTTTACTCTTATTTTTAATGGGATGGTACAAACTTAAAGTGATAAAAATGGCACCTAAGAGATAAATGGTAGTGGAATATTTTGAGCACTGTACTCCAATTATGTAAGTAAATGGGAGAAGCTCAAGGAGGATATTGATGTCTTGCTTTTCTTCAGCAGAGCTGCATTTAACATAAAGGGGAGTCATTTTATTGAATAATAAAAGCCTGACAATCACTGTGATTGGCTGACAGCCATTACTGCAGTGCAATTCTAAACAGCTTGTTTTTCAAAGTTATTTTTGAGTAACTCTTTAAAACCCAGACCTTGCCCAGTTGACTCAAAAGTTCAAAACTCATTTTTAAAATGAAGTTTCTCATATATCAATATTCTTTTGATGTAAGTAATGGGAAAAGATATGCATTAAGATAGTACTTTGTTTAAATCATTAGAATTGGATGTAGTTTGAATGGAAGAGTAATTCGGAAAATTTAGCAAATTAAGGTTTTCATGGTAGATAAAATTACGAGTGACAGAAGAAAAAAAGACCAGATTTGAAGAGATTTTAACAGAAAAATCAAGTCCAACATGCTTTACAGAGGAAAGCATAGCATTCGATCTGTATTATCCAGCTTAAAATCTTGTGATATCTGAACAGAACTAAAGGCTTCTAAAGTTACCAAATCCACTTTGATGCATTCATCTCTGCCAGCAGTTCTAATCAGCAATCCTTACCGGAAAGTATGTATAATAAATGGGTGTACAGTTGGCAATTCACCAAAATACATACTTAATGATATTTTAATGGCTATTTTAAAATCTCTTTAATTTAAATTGTGGATTAATATTGTATTTGGCCAGTGAATTCTGGCCAAAATGTTTGAAAATCATATTTGCTATTGAAGCTCTCTGTAATGGATATATACTTAATTTTCAGAATTGCCCAGGTTAGATCTTTTCTGATGAAGTATTTTTATCTTAAACGTCAACATCAGAAACATTGAGATAAAGATCAGGAGCACGAATCTGAGAACTGCAGAACTATATTAATTGGTCGTTTTCAAACGTATAGATCATAATAATTCCCTCCAAACCAGATGCAAAGCATCCCAGCGAAAAAATGGTCCTGATAACAAGTACTGCACAAAAATGAAGAAAAATAGATGCATCCCAGTGTCCAGAAAGCCGATTCTTCAACAGGCAGCAACAGAAGAATCCCAACGCATCTAGCGATTGGCTGAGGGTATCTTTGTTCAGGCGATAGGCATCCTGAGCCAGATGCAGGGTGGAGAAAGCCTCTCTCACCCTCACCTTCAGAATGCACTGCTCCGCCACCTGGGCCTCTCCGCGGTACACGTCTCCCTCTCTCGACCGTGGAGCGCAGGCTCCCTCCCGGGCGAGCACTCACAATGGACTCACTTGTTTCCCTTGCACCTCTCCTTTGACTTCCAGTCTGAGCAAACAACTTGAGCAAGAGTCAAGCGGAAGTCTTGGCCACCGAGCGTGGACCCGCAGAGCCTTCCAGACGAGCTGGGCAGCAGGCACGCGCGCACACGCAGACCAAACAAACAATGCCCAGTCCACGAACGACACGAACTCCCGACGCCCACGGCCCCACCCGCCACCCTGCAGCCGGCACCGAATCAAATAAAAAGAAACCCGGGACGGGGTTTTTCTGAATAAAAGATGGTGCTTTGTCTTTCAAAGTGCAAAGACCCGTCTCCGAAGCCGGCCGAAGAGGGGCTGGGCTGCCCACCCGAGGGCTGTAAAGACTGACGGTAGCTTTGCCCGCGACAACGCCCCCGGCTCTCGCCGAGCGCCGGAGGGGAAAACGCAGAGCGAGGGGGGAGGAGCGGCAGTGGCAAAGGCGGCTTGGGAGGGACGGGAATCCACGGAGAAGGGGAGAAATGAAGGCGCTACACGAGGCTTGAATAGGGAAACTTCGGGAGAGAAGGGGCCGCATCTCTCCCCAGGTAACTACCCTGAGGGAACAAATAGATGCAAGCAGGAAGTGGCGGGCAGCAACTTCGAGGTGAGCGCAAGTTGCGCGTCCCCTCTGGGCGTGTGGTCGGCGGCCCTCAGCGCCCCCTCCGCGGAACACGCGCTCCAGTCCGAGGCGCGGCGCGGCCAGAGCGGCAGGGGCGGCGGCAGCTGCGCGCCTCGGGCCCAGCCCGCGCGGCTCCCCCTCTCCGTGCCCGCCCTGCGTGTGCGTGTGCGCGTCTCAGCCTCGGCGTGAGCGGCACCTGCTCGTCTCGGCCCACAGCGGACGCAGCCACGCCGGGAGCCGCCGCTCGCCGTCGCCGTCGCCGAGAGCCCGAGGCGGGCTACCCTCGCAGCCTCGGTCCTTCTCCGCCGCCCGCGAGGCAGCCTGGCTCCGAGTCACGTGTCAGTGCCTGAGGCAGAGACTGAGAGAAAAAAACGCGCTTCATTCCTTCTTCCACCGCCATACTGTATTTTATACTAAATCTCATTTTTATTCCAACATTTTACTCCCGCTCGGTGAGTACCTTCTCAGTGGCATTCTTGTCCTATTCTTTTTTTTGTCCTTTTTTGTTTTTTTGTTTTTGTTTTTTTCTTTCTTCTTTTTTTTTTTTTCCACTTCTTTGATTATTGTTTATATTTGGGAAAGCTGAAAGAGCATGGTTTTGAGCCTTTTCCTGAATCCAAGTTTTTCTAGCTTGCGGTCGTTGTGTAGACGAGGCGCTGTGTCTGGGAGTCCGTGGCGACTGTGCCCGCTGGGAGCGACTCCCAAGTCCAGCAGAATATGCAACTGGTTTTATGGAAAAAAAGCGATGTGAAGTATGGTGCCTATTTTTTCCTTTGTAAAAAAAATTTAAAAAAGCATGTTTCTAACTCTTTTTTTGCCTATTTTTCTGATAACATTTTTTGTAGGTGGGATTTTACGGCAGTGTTTACAAGTTTGTGGTCTTGCAGTACTGGTGCAAACCACTGAGCAAAGATATTCAATTTTATATTTTTTATTCCTTTTTTGGAAGCCGGTGAGAAAAAATTCGTTTTTTCCCCCCTGTTTTTGATACCCATTGATAACATGAAACTTTTCTTGCAGCTGGTGACTGGGATCATTTTTAAGCAAAATACTTTTTTTTCCTCCTTTACATTAACTATGACTTTTGCACATTTGACTTTTTTAAAAAAGAGAACAAAACCGAGATAATTTTATGATAGATATCCTGATATCTATATCTATATTATTCCTTCTTCCTTCTCCTCCCCTCCCCGTAAATCAATTTTCAAATGATGGCAGTGGAAGGTTTTTCTGGAAAAAAAAAATGAAGTGCGGTTTGGTTTCCTTGTCAACGGAGGACGAAGTGAACAGCTGAGCAGCTCGCAGAGAGCAGGTACTTGGTCCCCTTGGAGGCGTTTCCCGGGTGTGCGATGGCAACACTGGTCCTGGCAAAGAGTGTGTGTGTGTGTGTGTGTGTGTGTGTGTGTGTGTACGCGCGCGCTTCTCGGGCAGTGTCCGAGACCGCGGTGGGGGAAAGCCGCGCCGGGAGCCAGGGAAAACCGAATTCCTTTCCCTGCCTCTGGATCATTTTTTGGATGTGCGCAAAATACAGTCTCCCCTGGCTGCGTCCAGGTCGGCTCTGCGGCGGGCGGGCGGCATCTGCGCCGCTGGCGGTGGCGGCCTGAGCGCGGTGGCCGCGGGCCCAGTAAGTTCTCCAAGGGCCACTTGCAGAGCAGAAGGGGCGAGGGCCGAGTGTGGGGCGCTGGCCGTCGGGCCGTCCAGGACGGCCCCTCAGAGCACCCGGGAGATGGTCGGAGAAGCGGCGGGGACAGCATCTTCCGGAGGGGCTGGCTCTCGGCCACGCGGGCAGGAGCTGAGACCTTTGCAGAGTCTTAAGAATGGCACCAGTCCCCGCACGCTCAACTCCTAGTCCTCCTATTCGTAATGAGCAAACAACCCAATAGGTCTTTCTCAGCTTCTCTTGCTTGTTCAGAAAGGCTTTGCCTCCTTAGTGGTGCTGTGTTTGGATCTTCAATCTCTGTGGTATTGCATTGATTTTAGGTGCTTGGTGGCGCCTTCTAGGGATTGGGGAAATACTTAAAGGACGGCCATTGGGTTTTCAGGTTGAGGACTGAACTCTTAGTTTGCATTAATGAGACTCCACCTCACAGGTACAAAACAGCCTTTTAAATTTTAAAGGGACAGTGTTTCTCACTTTTGAACCACCTGATACTAGCTCCCCCGCCCCAGCTGAGGACAGGGTGGGGGTGAGCGATTTGCTGATGATTTTGTTGTGTCGGTAGCATTGAAGTACTCAGTGCTGAATATATTCTGTGATATTTTATGATTGTTCTGTTACATGTTTCCAGTATAGAACCTCGCATTACTTTTCAAAGACAGATCAGTTCTCTATAAAAAGCCTTTTTTCTATATTCAATACAGTGACAGAACCTGCTGGAAAATTTACTGTACAAATAAATTTAGGAAAGTCATACTTTAAATCTTAAAATCTAGAGAGTAACTATTATTCAGATGATTTGATTGTGAAAGCTTTATTTCCCCCTCCCTCAATGAAAAGTTTAGCCTTAAATTTATCATGCATGTGTATTTTGGATTTTGATAAAAATAAACAGAAAGCAAATGAAATAACTTTTACCTCTCAGATTAAGTTTTCTTCTAGGGTATCTACAGAAAGAAAAACTAACTCCAGCCCACAGAAGTGTCCATGACAAAGGGGTCAACAAACATACCTTGGTTATTTTTTAGGATGCACTAAACCTCTCATTGAATGTGCACCTTCAGTTTATGAAAAGAGAAGTTTTTGTCTTTTTTTGTTTACTCTTTGAGATGGAAGAATAAGGAATACAAAAGGTCATTTATCTGAAGGAGATTAGGATGTAGTGTAACATCTAGAAGGCTATCTATATGTTTTTATTCACATTGCTTCCATGTATCTCAAAAGTCTTGGAAGTTACATTATATGTGAATTATTTTTGTACTCAGGGCAGCTTTTCTCTATGTAAAGGAAGTCCTCTTGGCATTTATATAAGAAACAGAAATTATATTATTGTCCATGAACACCAGACTTGATACTTTGAAGTGCATAGTTGTAAGATTTGAAGCCAATACTATGTCATTAAGCCTTAGACATGAATTTTCTTATTTTCATGTAATGAGCTCATTGCTCAAGTAGTCTTTCATATGGTTCAGAAAGCTAACGTAAAACATTTAAAAACACTTGCAACATTGTGTTTAAAAACCGTTTAAATCATAACATGTAAGTAGAAATGCTCATTTATTTAAAAATGCAATATAGTGTGTGTAGAATATTTTTTCCACTGGTTGCATGCATTATAAGTCATGTAGTTCTTTTAGGAGAGAGAGAGAGAGAGAGAGAGAGAGAGAGAGAGAGAGAGAGAGAGAGAGAAAGAGAGAGAGGCAAGCAAGAAAGAAATAACTTGAGTGACCAAACTTGGATTTTCACTAAGAGAACAATTGTTGCCCTAAGTTCAGCCTAGTTTGTATTTTAGATTAGGCAGAAGAAGTACTCTGTGATATTTCAAAATGAGGTTAAAACCATAACAAGACCAAAAAGATACTCACAAAATTTTAATGTGGGAGAAGAGATAAGTTGCATTTGTAATTCTATAAATAAAGATCATCTAGAACCTTATCATTTTGTTTTCATTTATTTTATATTCATTTTCATTATATTAAATATTGATAATAAATTTCTATTTGTGATGTTCAAATTTGCATAGTTTCCTCTATGAATTGAACTGGGAATACTATGACACCTTCAACTGCTACTTGCTCTGTGAGATTTTTTTCTTTTAAGATTGTTGGATGTAGTATCCTAGAGTTAGCACAGCCTGCTGGTGTTTCTTGAAAAAATGTATTGTTTCTCCATTGACCAAGCAACCTGTCTGGGTTCTGATTACTGAAAATTTTTTTCCAGGAGAAAGGGTTTCCCAAGTGAAGGTGGGAGGTGAGGGAAAGAAAACACATAAATTAAGTTGGGTGTTGGATCTTTGCCTCACATATTTTAATAAATTGTAATGAAATCATCACAGACTTAGAACAGTCTGTTACATTTCCTATAATGTGGGCTGAGTATGTAGCTCAGTAGTAGGGCACTTGCCTAGCATATGAGAGGGCATGAGTTCAGTCTCTAGCACTGCAGAAAAAAATTCCTGCACCTTTTCTGTGGGAAGGAAATGTGGTTATTATTAAGAGTCCTGGATTCCTTTATTAGTTTTAAGTTTCTGTCCAAGCCTTGTACATTTAGAGAAAGAAATTGTGGTTGGAATTGACTTGAGTGTGTGGTTTGTCTAAGAATATTTAAAGAATGCATTTTCACTTTCAAATATGAACAATTATTTCTTGAAATTTATCTTTGTATATAAGCAATCAAATTGCACACTTTTTTTTCTTAGTGTATATCAGGTAGCCACATCATGTTGGTGTTACATAGAGGAAAAGTTCCAAACATTTTTTTATACATTTTTTTTTATATTTATAGTTAGAAAGAATGTATTACTTTCTTTTAAAGTGAGATCTAGGTAATTTTCTGTAATTTTTACAAAATGCTAGTAGTTAATAGAATATTAAAATACATTATAAACTTATATTTTAAAAGAAACTAATAAAAATTAGGAATAAAAATAGAAAATAATTTGACGTTAGATTAATTCTTAGTTAAAAAAACTTGTGCTGTATGGATAGCTATTTCCCAAACAAAATAGTTGTATTTTTAATAAGCCATTATGAAGCATATGGAAACAGTGAGAAGTATATGTTACTTTTGAACGTTTTCCACCTGAATAAAAGTGTAGTCATGTTTTATTTACTGGTTATTGATATTGTAAGCAACTAATTAAACAGTACATCAAATCAAATCAAAGTCTACATTTCAAGTCTTCAAAAAGTTCATTATGAAGTTGAAGAGAAGTGGGTATTTAGAATTATATATATAATACAGAGGAATAGGGAAATATTTTAGTCGCAGTTTATTCTCTTTGCTGACTTTTTGAAACTTAAAAAATATTGATTAGCCCTGGGTTTAAAAAATAGTTATTTTTTTCACCGCTTCTGCCATACTCTCATTCAGGAAACTATATTGTACTGGGAAAAACTGAGGTAACGATGAATTTTATTCTTCCAAGTGTTAATGGAGCTCCAGAAAGTAAATAAAATTTTATTTTTTAAAAAAGAACCTCCCTGATCCACAGTTTTTATCTTCTTACTGTTATTATATGTTAACATTCAGTGTCTTGCACAAATCTCTTTAAAATTTTCATAATTTTGAGTCTTTTCTTCAATAATTGACAATGACACATAAATTTTCACAGTAGTTACAGTGAAAACAATTAGCTTCATCAAACCATGATTTTGGGCACAATGATTATTAAATAAGTAAAAGGTAATTTCTGAATAAAATAGTTTCATAATTTAGTGTTATATTTGTCATCACTGATTTATTATTAAATTTTGACTTTCTGAATACATAGATCTCTCCCAGCTGTTGTCAGCTTTTATTAGTTTTTCTTTAATAGCTTTTAGGTTTATAGCAACATTTTAAGGGGGTTTTTTTTGTCTCTGTATTTTGCTACATTTATGTTAAATATTAAAGGTATATTGTGGAAAGTTGTGTTTTTATAATTCCTCCATAATTAAAAAAAGTGGGTTTTTTTTGCAGTATCTTACTGTTTTTCTGAGAGTGAATCCTGGAAAATAATGAAGTTGATTTATTTTTTCCTATCCATTCCTGGCCCCAGAGGTGGCAGTGGGAGAACTTCATTTATTGTTTGAGATAAATGTCCCCTGACCTGTCCATGGAGACTCCTCAGCTTAGGTCAGAAATTAAAGAGTTATTTCATAGCAATGTATAAATCTTAAGCAGAGAGGGGAATTATAGAGAACATCATCATTTTGTACATTGGAGAAAACTGACTTGGAAAAATATATAACTTGCTCAAAAGTTCCACAGGTGGTAAAGGGACCAGTAAAGGGCCGAAAGTCTGAAATGACACCTTCTGGACTATTGTGTAAGTGGGGATAGTTGGTTTGTGGAGAAAATTTTTTTAAAATATGAAACAATTGCTATATATTTATTCTTGAGATATTATTCATGATGACTAGTTTGGCATATTTTCATTAGGTAGTATCTTTCACTAGGTAAGTAATTTTGCTAAAATAACAGAAAATGGTATCAATTATATAAAAGTCTTTCTGGTTCTGAAAGAACCTTCAGGTGATCATAGAATCACACTCCAAGATTATTGAATTTTCTGAGGACAACCGAAGGCACGGAAGTTTGTAAATTATCACTGGTGTTCTGGTGGTGATAGAATAGATGGTTCTCTGTCTACAGTGGCTTTATAGGAGCCCAGG